AGGGAAGGGGCCATGGATAATTATCTGGCGGGCCCTGCCCTCCCCGATTGGGATTGGGGGTCGCCTGGGGGTGGGACTGGCCATGTGGGGGGGAGCTTTGGGCAGTAGGCCAGTCAGCCCTGCCCCTGACCGGGGAAGGTAGTGCCAATCTGGGATGGGGCCAGGAAGAGGAAGGAGCTGCAGTAGATTGGCTGGCAACCCCCACCTTGTTTGGGGATTGGGGAGAGATCAGGGTTGAGGCCGGCCAGGGGGAGGAGCTGTAGGCTGATCAGGATGGTGGTGGCCCATTGGGGGTATGACTGGCCAGCTTGAGAGGCTGTGGGCTGATCAGGATAGTAGGAGTCAATCAGGGACATGGCCATCCAGGGGGAGGGACTGTAGGAGGTGGGGTGGTGAACAGGGGAGGGCTGGCCAATGGGAGGGGCTGCACACAAAACAGGGTGCTGTAGACTCAATAGGGGTGTGGCCGACTCAGGGAAGGAGCTGCAGAAGGTTGGCTGGTCATCCCTGCCCCATATTGGGGTTGGGGATGTGATCAGGGGTGAAGCAGCCAAGGGGAGGTTGGCAAGAGGTTGGCCACCCTGCTCTGCCCCCATTTGTAGGAGGTGGGGTGTGATCAGGGGTGGGCTGGCCAGGGGGAGGGGCTGTAGGTCTATTGTGGTGGGGCAAGCTGATGGGAGCATGGCTGGCTGGGGGGAAGGGCAGGGGTGTTTGGCCAGCAGGCCCAGCTCATAATCTGGGTGGGAGAGTTCGATCAGGGGCAGGTCGACAAGGTGGAGAGGCTGAGAGGTTGACCATCGGCCCCACTCCCTGATCGAGCCAGTTTGCTGGCCACAGTGGGCATCATAGTGACCAGATGTTAGGTTGTTATGACCGTTATGGTAGCTGCCTTTTATGTATATACAATAGACTAGAGGCCCAGTGTATGAAATTCATGCATGGGGGTGAAGGTGGGGTTCTCCTCAGTCCAGTGTGCACCCTCTCCAATGGAAGATGTCTGACTGCCAGTTTAGATCCAAAGGGATTGGACCTAAATCAGCAGTCAGATATCCCTCTCACAATCTGGACTGCTGGCTCCTAACCTCTTGCCTGCCTGCCTGATTGCCACTAACTGCTTCTGCCTGCCAGCCTGATTGACCCCTAACCACTCCCCTGCCGACCTGATTGATGCCTAACTGTTCCCCTGCCAGTCTGATAGCCCCCAACTGCATTCTCTGCTGACCTGATTGATCCCAACTGCCCTCCTGTGCTGGCCTAATTGCAGGCTTAGTCACCCCCCACTGACAGCATGATCACCCCCAACTGCACTGTCCGCCAGCCTAATTGCCTCCAACTGCCCTGCCTTGTCTGCCATTTTGTGGTGACTATCTTGTGGTAGCCATCTTGTGACAGCCATTTGTGATGACGTGAAGGCAGCCAGATTTTTGAGGCTATGTTGTGGTGGCCATGTTGTGAGGACTTGAGAGTGGCCGACTTGTGACAATGTCACATTGGCCATCTGTGGCGCTGCCGCATGACACCTCCTAGGCTTTTATTGTCTAAGACAGTGGTCAGCAAACTCATTAGTCCACAGAGCCAAATATCAACAGTACAATGACTGAAATTAATTTTGAGAGCCAATTTTTTTAAACATAAACTATATAGGTAGGTACATTATTAACTTAATTAGGGTGCTCCTAAGCTGGCCTTTGCTAAAAGCTCAAGGGACCAAAGAGCCCTATGTGGCTCGCAAGCCGCAGTTTGCTGACCACTAATATAGGATGTTCATGATTTATATTTTCTGATTTGGGGCAGGGAGAGATATGAATACAGTAACTGACATTCATGAGTACATATTTAAGTCTTGTGGCTAGTTACCAAACAGGATTCGGAGCCATATGTCACCTTTTGTATTTCCTTGTAGACACCGAACCTATCTCCTCCCTGTGATATCTCCATGCTGTCAGGATCCCCTTTCTGAACCCAACCCCACAAACAAGCATGCCCTGGGCACTGTTCCCCTTCCAGGGTGCGCTCAGCACTGAGATATAAGAGAAGGGATGCCCTCTTCCCCCGGGAGGAATAACAGCTTCCTGGCACACTAGGTGTCTGGTGAGGGCCCCAGGGACATACACACAGCAGAGAGCGGCCACCCAGTCAGCTCTAACCAGGGGAAAGAGCAGAATGAACTTAAGAGAGGTGAGAGGCCAGGCTGAGCAGGCTCTCTGGGGTCAGGTTCTTTTCCCAAGCTTACAAAGGATTCAGCATTCTGGAGAAGGGGACTTTGCATAGATGATTAAGGAGTCCAAAGACGAAAGATAGTTTTAGAGGCACTGGAGGCCAGAGGAGCTTCAGCTGAAGGAGCTGGAAGACTCTTCCTTGACCAAAAACCTGTGCTTTTACTCACATGAATTATCCTAAGGCAAGGTGCAAATACACACTTCAAAGGGTACTGTATCAAAGGGTTTACAGAAATTGTTACATTCCAGACAGCTGTTCAGGTGTTTGGCCAACAGGAGGCAATAGAACACTCTGAGCTGTCTGGCAGCTAACAATCCCATTCAGGTTTGGGGGAAGTGCCCTTTAGCCCTTTCCAACAGGTGAACTCCATGTGACTCAACCCTGCTGAGCTCCTCCAGCTTTTGGTAAAACTCCTGTAATTGTTACATGCTGCAATTGGTTCTCAGCAATCCAGGACCTTGAATGCTGGAAGGGGAAAGTGCAACACACCAGCACACAGTAATGATTCAGAACGAAGGAAACATCTGAGAGCAGCCTGGGAAAATGGAGGCAGAAGTCTCAGGGTCAGAGCAGGGAAGCCGGGCTAACTTTGTCAGGACCCAAGGACGCCAGAACATCCATGTTTCTCATATGTTCATTATCCCTCTTCTGCAGCAACTAGCCAGGTAGCTGTAGAGGGTTGTGAGGTCAGAACATTGAACTACATTCATAGAGCGCCCATTCAGTGCCCATACTTGAGACAAAGCGGTGTCCTCAAGATGGTTTGTTTCTTTCAAAAGGATCTTGCTTTTAGTTCATAGAGTAATTAAATCCTCAATACATTAGGTTACTCTCAATGCAAGTAGAATCATTTCTACAATATGAGCTCTCAGTGTTTAAACTGCTGATGACCTGATCTGTTCTGGGTTCTTACAGCTGACCAGCCTCTCAGGAGGGAGCCCCACTAACCTGACTCATCAAATCCTCGGTGCTCTCTGTCTCACCCACAAATTGCCTTCAAAATAAAGATACAATTTCTCAGCCTGGGAGTCAAGGTGCCTTCAAACTGCTATTTGCTACTTGGGAACATGGTCTTGTCCTGGTCACCCTGAGCCACCTGTGCTCCAAGCAGGGTCCCCGCACACTTGCTTGAACCCATCATGCCCTTCTCTGCTTTGGAGCACTTCCTGCTCCTGTTGGCTGCTGCCTGAGCACTCTGCCCTCTCCCTTCTCCACTTCTTGAGGGGAGCGGTTACATACATATTCCTTGTTTAGTCCACAGAGATGAGCAGAGAGTCAGATAGAAAAAAATCCTATAGTTTCGTAGCTGAGATAGAATTTAGAGAGATGAGATCTACTTAAAGATATTAAAGAAAATATGTTGTAAAGTCTTAAACAGATGAAATAATACCAAAGTGAATAAAATAAAGAATGTAAGTTCTTCTCCGCGGACATCCCGTAAGGCTGACCAGTGTTTTTCCTCCCAGACATTAGTCTGGCTGCAGAGACCTAAACTTTTTTCTCCCCAAAGATGGTATTACATTATGCACTCTGTTCTGCAACTTTACTAAGTTCATCATTCACTTACTAGTTCCTGAACCTTTCCCCATGTCAGTGCAGAGAGATGACTTTAAAAAAAAAATCAGTTGGAGGAAAGCCTTCAGCATGCTTTTCTCTGCCTGAAGAGGCCCTGCCACCTGCCCAGGAGCTGCAAGCACCACGGAGGGGACTGAGCAAAGTGGGATCCAGGGCGTTTCTCAGCTTCTGTCCTCTCCCTGGGCGCCCCCTGTCACTGGCGACCTGCTCCTAGGAGAGGGCACGCCTGGCCCAGCGCCTTTGCAGGAGGGACCACCTGCAGGGAAGAGAGCCAGTCAGGAGTGGGGGCCTGCTATGGGAAGAAAGAAAATTTGTAGTCAGTGCACACAGCTGTGGGCAGAATTGGGGCACCCTACTCACCATCCTTCCCCTTTCCTTCCTTCCTTCCACAGCTCCGTGGTTTGTCTTTGAGAGTTACCTCATCATGAGTGTACCTTTATCCAACCCCCGCTCTGCCAGCATCTCTGATCTCTACCTCTTCCGGAGACCTTGCCCTTCACCCTCTCTAACCGCCCCACGTTCTCTTGGACCCGAGGACAATTTGGAAACCATTGGGATCACAAGAACATGATCCAGCTCTCCCGTGACCTGATGACTAATTTCACCTACCCCCTCAGGTTGGAGTCCCAGGACAAAGTAGGGAGCTGTTCTGAATGGATGCAACCACCTCCTGCCAGCAGCCAGTCCCAGGAGAGCAGAAGACACTCCTGGTTGCGCAAGGAAGCATCAGGAGGCTGGGCGCCCAGCCAGGGAAAAACTAACCCCCAAACCGAGCTGCAAACCCCGGTTCTTCCTTCCATTCTAACACAGCCCGTTCACTGCTTAACGGAGATCACCCAGCCCAGCCCAGGGCGCCCCTCCCTCCTGAAGTTGCCCTAAATTGCACCCCGTTCTCCTCCCCACGCCAGCCAAGTGCCTTCCTTTCTTCTCAGCGCCCTCTGGCTGCAGCATGGGTCTTCCCCGCGCGCTCTGTGGGCGTCTGTCTGCACAATGACAACAGGGACTCTCTCCTCCCAGCCTGGGAGGCTCTGATGCGGTCCCCAGCGGGCAGGGCGGTCCCCGAGCGGGAAGTCCCGCTGCTGGGCGCCTGGGCTTGTGGCTGCAGGAGGAGGGAGAGGCCATTCGGTTTGGCGCCACCCCCATACCCCCCCATCCCAGCCCGCCACGCCCGCCCCGGAGAATTGCGGGACTCCTCCCAGGGCCCAGCACTTGAACTCCAGAGGCTGGACCACTCCCTGGCCCGAAGCTCCCGGTCCCAAAGTTCTGGGTCTCAGTCCCCGCGCGGAGCCCACCGCTGGAGCGATGACGACCGTCTGGCTGGTGCCCGTCGGGCAGAAGCTTCTGCTCTGGGGCGCGCTCAGCGCCCTCACCCTGGCAGGAGCCACCTTCATCCTGAGCTTCCTGCAGATCTTGGCGAGCTATGTGCATAATTGGCTGCAAATGAGACCCATCCCCACCGTTTCGGGTGCCTACCCCTTTGTGGGACACTCCCTGGTCCGGAAGCGAGGAGGGAAAGGTAAGGGGCTTGCAGGGATAACACAGGAGCACCCCCTGCTCCCCCGCCTGGAGCACTGGACTGGAGATGCAGGCTGCTGGGTGAGGGGCGCCTCTATCACCCCCTGGATAATGGGTCCCCACTTCTCTCCAGTTTTCATTACATATAAGTGCAGTGTTTCTAAACGCCTGCCCTTCTGCCTTTTCTCTTCTCATTTTCCCAAGTCCTGGCTGCTGCTGTCTTAAACCACCACCTCTAGCCCTAGCAGGCTTGGCTCAGTGGATAGAGCTTCAGCCTGAGGACTGAAGAGTCTGGGGTTTGATTCCTGTGAAGGGTTTTTGCCTTGGTTGCAGGCTCCATCCCCAGGGAGGTGGGGGTGGGGGTTGGTTGGGGGGGGGGCGCTGATATGCAGGAGGCAGCTGATCAATGATTCTCTCTCATTATTGATGTTTCTAGCTCTGAAATCAATAAAAATATATTTAATAAGAAAAACAAAAACAACAACAACAAAACCACCTGTTTTTCTTCTGTTAAAGTCCTAAAAGCGGACACAACTTATAAGTTAGTCTCTCTCTCTCTCTCTCTCTCTCTCTCTCTCTCTCTCTCTCTCTCTCTCTCTCTCTCTCTCATTTCTCTCTCTCTCTCTCTCTCTCTGCAAATAAGGGACAAGTAACGCACTTGAGAACAGAGCCTCTCCCTCCAGAAATCACAAGACTTGACCACAACTTGCATTCCTCCTTGGCCCTGCTGTGGAGGTTACATAACAACAATGAATTATGATGTTATTCTTCAAGGCCTGTTTCAAAAGTCGCACAGCAAGTTTCAGAAATCGTATTTGTTAAAGAGTGAGTCTTTTTTTTAATTGAAATCATCTTTTGAAGAGATAGCTTTACCTTATGTTATGATAGGGGTAGAGGGATCACTTTGAGTTAGAAAGCTCTTAAAAGTCCCTGATATTTGGATCCCACATGAGGGAGGGAGATTTAGATCTTAACACTTCATCTTCGTGGCTATAGAAGTTGAGATACCCAGAACTGAAAAGATTTGCCCCAAATGATATATATATTTAAAATATATTTTATTGATTTTTTTTTAGAGAGGAAGGGAGAGGGACAGAGAGTTAGAAACATGGATCAGCTGCATCTTGCACACCCCCTACTGGGAATGTGCCCCAACAAGGTACATGCCCTTGACTGAAATCGAACCCAGGATCCTTGAGTCCACAGGCCAAGGCTCTATCCACTGAGCCAAACCAGTTAAGGCCAAATAATATTTTTTAAATGAGCCCAGAACTAGAATCCAATCAGCCCTTAGCTTATTGAATAAGTTTTATAGACTGAACATCATTTCCAAATCTTAAAGGATTATTTCTTTTCCACTTTCCTTTCTCCAAATGAAAATAATGCTGTCATTTCAACTTCACGGGGAATACATGAGGCCTCATGGGAGAGTGTCACCAAAACATAAAAAATGTTTCTGGCAGAAGAAACCCAAGGAAACCTTTAACCAACCAAACATTAATGCGACTAATGTTGCAAGTGATGCAGCACATTTTGATATATGAAAACCACATTTGTAAAAATCATCATGGTGAACGCTAATGGCAGAGCTAATCTTCCCTCCTACCCAAAGGCAATAATATGAAAAAACAATGGTGTAGAAATATAGGCCCCTCTTGTATGTGTGTATATCTATCTATCTATCTATCTATCTATCTATCTATCAACAATATACTTAAGAAATCTCATCATAGTCTATTGGGGAATTTTTCTAGAAATTGAAATCTCTGGTGAATAAGATCCATTTCAAAACAAATGTGTGTTATTGGACTCTAAAAGCAGCAGTATTCAACCTGTGGGTCACGACCCCTTTGGTGGTTGAATGACCCTTTCACAGGGGTTGCCTAAGCTAGCCTGTATATCAGATATTTACATTATGATTCATAACAGTAGCAAAATTATGAAGTAGCAACAGAAATAATTTTATGTTTGGGGGGGTCACCACAACATGAGGAACTGTATTAAAGGGTTGTGGCATTAGGAAGGTTGAGAACCAGTGCTTTAAAGTAATTCTCATTATAGTTACTTCTAGAGAGAAGAGAATGATAACACATCTTCCTCACGGGGACTTTTTAATGCATCAACAACTACAGGATCTGGACCTAAGACCAACCTTTGCCCCTTTCTGCTTGTAATCAAATTGTTTGATGCTGCAACCTTTGCGGAGGAGTTCAGGATCTGAAGGAGGGGCCAATGCACAAATGAAAATACTACACAAGAAATATGAATTTAGAAGGCATGGAGGCCAGAGGGAGACCTCTCTTTTGAGAGGTACAGGAACTTCTGGGTCCAGTTTGATTTGATTCACTGTAATACATTTTTGCTCTTTAGACATGCAAACAGGCAGGTCAAAGGTAAAGTTTGGTTAAATAGTATAGTTATTATCAGATTAAATAATTGCCTTACCCCTTGAGCCCACAGCAGGGCAATATAATGTTTACTTTCAGCCCTGTTGAACACCAAAGTCCATTGGCCTTTCAACATGTCTTGTTGCATTAATATGCTAACTACTGTTGGTTTTAGCCTCTGGCAGTTTGACTTTGACAAGTAGTTTAAAACTCTTTACTTTATAGTGTGTAACCCTTTACTTGTAAAAGTCACTATAGTACAGTCACTTTGAGGATTTAATTTCATGCGAGCATTTTCTAGACCATTGTCCAGAACGTGGTTTGAGTCCATTTTTTTCATTGTTAATCATGCACCTATTTGAGGCCCTCCTTTGTGCCCAGCATTGAGCTCAGCAAAATTGGGCAAAGCACAACATTTAGAGGTGTATTTCTCATCCTCAGTACCCTTGTGTCTTATACAAGCAGCCGTGCCTTTCGTTGTGTGGGTACCATCAGCATTCTGGCCTCAGAAGAGTCACATGGAGAATTGCAACTGACTCCCTGTTGAACTCCATCTTTTGCTTCTCCAGTCTTTTTGTGAGCACCTGTCTTCCCCAGCTGCTCCCTGCCATGGGGCCCACCTGAGGCCTTCCAACCACGGGTGTCGATTTCCCTGTCTCCTCTGCCAGACCAGACCAAGGCAGTGGGTTATGGCCATGCATGCTACATACATTTTGACACTGTTGATGGGATCTAGCTTCTTTCATAGCAGTTTAGCCAATGGTTTGACCGGAAGGCATTTTGAATTGACATGATGTAATGGGGAAGATGGCACAGTGTGTATGTGTGGGTGCCTGGGGTACAGAGCCAGGCCTGTATTTACCAGCGCTGTGCTATTGTGCAATGACTCAGCTGAGCACAACTTCCTCAGCTATTCACTGACTTCTGTAATAGTGTTTCTCATCTGACTGTGGTGAGGCATAAAGACATAGGCATCAGAAACCCTTAGCTCTGCTCTGATGTTTAATCACCTCCCACAGCAAGTAAATATGTTGGAATTAATGTTAGCCATTTAAAAGATTCATTATTGGGTGTTGAGGTGCCCAAATGTGCATACGCTTTAAACAATTATTCCTGTTTCTTCATCGACATGTGTAATGCACATCCCTGTGCTTTAGCCTCTCTCCCACTGCACTTTGAGCAGCGTGCCCTGAAGCCCAGGGGTGGGGGAGCTGAGGGATGGGAGAAGGAGCAGGGGTAGTTGAGTATGTGAACAAGTATTGGCACAAAAAAAGAGCTGGGAAGTTTAATAGTTGTTTTTTATTCCATGTCAATTTGTCTGTGGGGCCCAAATTCCCATTTAAAACAACCTCAGGTGCCATCTGTATTAGTAGCCTCACAGTGCTGTGGGCATTAGTCCTGCTGCTGACATGGGGCATTCCCTTTGCTTAGAAAAGCCTGGGTACCACATGCCTCCCAGCCAGTGTGCTGGGTTAATTCCAAGACTTTCCTCACTACTTCAGTGTTGTTGGGATTACTGGTCACCATTTCCCCACACCTGATACAAGGACCAGCCATAAACCAGGACCCGAGCCCCTAACACTGGCTGCATGGAATTCCACCCCAGAAGCTTCCTACATCCTTGGACTAGAATCCCAAGTTCTCCACAGATCCCACACACCTCAGTGTTATCGTCCTAAAATATAGCTCTGTGGTTCTAGTACTCCTCAGAAACTGTCAGATATTGCCTAGAGCAGTGTTTTTCAACCTTTTTTGCGCAAAGGCACACTTGTTTCATGAAAAAAAATCACGAGGCACACCACCATTAGAAAATGTTAAAAAATTTAACTCTGTGCCTATATTGACTATATATAAAGTAATTCTCTTGAATAGGAATCAAATAAACACAAAGAAAGTATTTTATAATTACTTTATTATGAAATATTAAGTAAACAAAATAGTGAAAAATTATAAAATTCTTGTCTTGTCTGCACCTACGACACACCAGGCAACATCTGTGCCGCGGAACAGCGGTTGAAAAACGCTGGCCTAGAGACCATAAAGGAAAATCCAACTTCTTTAGCCTTGCAACACTCCAGGCTCATCTATCAATGTTATCATCCCATCCTGGGCTCTGGCTAAGCCTATAGGCAATTCTCAGACCTCCCTGACTCTGCTCAGCTATTTCTGCTGCTTGGTTTACCCTCACTGCCTTTTTCTTCCTATGAAAAGCCAACTCATTCCTTTGTACTCAAAAGCCATCTCTTTCTTGGAATTTCTCTGGTCCTTTCAATGCAAATAGATAACTTGTCAGGCTTAACCTTCTAATTTAGCACCCATTTCATTTGACCTGATACTGTGATTAGTACCACAGTGACCATCTCCTATGATAATAAATTCCTGAGAGTAGGGATCTGGTCTTTGGTGGTACATGTTCCTTGCCTGTGGAATGCATGTGTGAGCATGTTGTGTTTTCAAGAAGTAAGGTACTTCCGTCATATTCATTCTTCTATCTGGACATGGCATAGGAAACTGATTTGATTGATTACCAACTTTCTCTATCTAACCCCTACAGTTTCCTCAGTGCTTTTCAGTAATTATTTTTAGCTTAATTATTCTTTAAAAAATATATTCTATTGATTTTTTACAGAGAGGAAGGGAGAGAGATAGAGAGTCAGAAACATCGATGAGAGAGAAACACCGACCAGCTGCCTCCTGCACACCCCCACCAGGATGTGCCTGCAACCAATGTACATGCCCTTGACGAGAACAGAATCTGGGACCTCTCAGTCCGCAGATGGACACTCTGTCCACTGAACCAAACCAGTTTTGGCTCATTTATCACTCATAATTAAATTAGCTTAATGATTCTTTCTTATATTCACTATGACAATGTTCCATATTTTTGTCACATTCCCAAGTCCAATTTTTTTCCTATATCCAAGAAAATGTAGACATAGAGCATCCTATATAATAAAAGGCTAATATGAAAATCAACCAAATGGTGGAATGACTGGTCACTATGACTACTATGGGCAAATACTCAACACAGGAGCTGCCCCCTGGTGGTTAGTGTGCTCGACAGGTCAGTGCTGCTCAGCCAGGAGATGGGCTCACAAGAGTTGGACATCCCCTGAGACCTCCCAGACTGAGGGGCACAGACCAGCAGAAAGACGCCCCCCCTTCCAGGTGCATGAGTTTCATGCACTGGGCCTCTAGTTATTTATATATTATATGTGGTTTACAGGCTGGGCACTCCTTCTCGCAACCCAAGCAGAGGCCCTGGTATCTGGGATTTATTTATCTTCTATAATTGAAGCTTTGTAGCCATTAGCAGAAGCCAAGGCAGGCCAGGGCAGAAGGAAAGCTTGGTTTTCTCCATCACCGGGGGCAACTCAAGCCTCCTGTTCTCTCCAGCTCCGTAGCTGCTGCCATTTTTGTTGGGATTTACTTAACTTCTATAATTGAAACTTTGTAGTCTTGAGTGGAGACCTGGGCCTGCCAGGGCAGGTGGAAAGCTTGGCTTCCTCTATCGCCTGGTAAACCCAAGCATCTTGCTCTCTCTGTGTCTACAGCCATCTTGGTTGGGTTAATTTGCACACCCACTGCTGATTGGCTGGTGAGCATGGCTTTTGTGTGTAGTGGAGATATAGTCAATTTGCACATTACTCTTTTATTAGATATGATATAAGTTAAATCAGAATGTTTTTTACCTTGTCTGTCTTATTTCATGTAATGTAATACTCTTCAGATTCATTCATTTTATCACAAATGACAATATTTTTATCTTTAAAAAATATTTTTTATTGATTTCAGAGTGAAAGAGAGCAGGAGAGAGAGAGAGAAACATCAGTGAAGAGAGAGAATCATCAATTGGATGTCTTCTGCATGCTCCACACACATGGGGGTCGAGCCTGCAACCCAAGCATATGGCCAGGCCAGGTCAATGCTCAACCACTGAGCCATGCCAGCTGGGCCAATATTGTCCTATCTTTTTTATCCATGCATCCTCTGATAGGCATCTAAGGTTGTTTCCATGTGCTGGCTATTGCAAGTTATGCTGCAATTAATATTGGGGTGCATATATCTTTTTGAAATAGTGTTTTCATGTTCTTCAGATAAATACCCAGAAGAGGAATTGCTGGATCATATGGTAGCTCTGATCTCAATTTGTTGAGGAGCTTCCATACTGTTTTAGAGGGGGTAAAAGGGAAGCATCTATCTGCCAGGGCTGGAGAGCTGGGACAGGTTTCCCTTCCGATGGAAGCGGAGCCTGAAGCAGGTCAGGAGAAACTGAACACCCTCAGTGCTCTTGGGAGGCATGTCATAAGGTCACCACAAACACCCACAGTGCTTGGCACTTCTCAGTTAACCAAGTTGTTGCACATACATCACTTATAATTAAATTAGCCTCATAATTCATGCACTAATAATTTAGTAAGGACACCTGTGTGGTTTAGCTTCAAGATGTGAAAGACCTGGGAGATATTGAATGAGTTGACCAAAATAAAAAGAGTAAGAAACCAAAAATGCCACAGTAAGAAACTTATTTAAAATTAAATATTTTCTCCTAGAGTTTTTCCAGGCACTGATTAATTGCACTGAAGAAAACAGAGATGTGCCAATGCTAAAACTCTGGTTTGGCACAGTACCAGCAATAGTCATGTATAAGGCCGAAACTATAGAGGTGAGTCCATGGTGACTGTGATCAATATTCCACTGTATATTTGGTGGTGCGAGAATCTCATCAGAATAAACAGAAAATACATGTCCTTATATTTAATTGAATTCAATACAATGAGGATTCCATTAAATATCTATAGCTGTGAAGGTGCCATTTAGTGTTTTCCAGATATAGTCTGAGTTCTGGGAAGAGTAGCAGCTTCTACATGTCTATACACATTTGGTGTTAAGAAATATATTTGTCCTCCTTTTTTGGAAAGTCTTCAGTTGAACAGAACCATAAATATCAATAGATTATTCTGTAAACTGAGCTCATATCATCTGCCAGGTACTGTTTCAAGGCTACAGAAATATAAGACTAATAAAATGTAAGTGTTTCCCTTAAGATGTTAAGTAACCATTATACTTTTATTATTTCAAGTTAATTTTTAAAAATAGAACACTAATCTGATATTGATGGGGAAGATGTTACTAATTCACACTATGAAATTACTCCTAAAAATTGTTTACCTTTCTTTTCCTTATTATCATGATATTGGGGGTATGATCTTATGGTTTGATGACAAAGGATTTGAGTCAGGAAGTAAAAATGGGATAAAAGGATCTTCTCTTGATGGAGCAAAATTAACAGCAGAATTTCCTAGGCTTGTTGGGCTTGGATACATCTTTCTTACTCATTGTGGTAAAACTCTTAGTGTCTCTGGTACCACACTGCAGAATCTACTGGCCCAGAGGAGACAGCGAGAGGGCCACATACGGGGTTTCAGCCATTGCTGGCCCAATATGAGTGGGCTTAGTACATGAGGATAGAGATCTATCCAAAGCAGGGAACTGCAGCAAGAAGCCTGAGAAACATTTTGTGCATATGCTCTTCCCTTCTGCTTTACTTTGACTCCAGGCAACCTAACTATACCCATGGTCCCCAGTGCCACCTATGCCCTGGAGACACTCAAATGTGTACCCAGTATAAGCCTTAATCCTGAGCTGCATACCTGCTTTCAGACTATGGCAACTTGAATGCCTCCAAATCAACATGCCTGATCATGATCTTATGATTTCCATCTCCCTAAATGTGGTCATCCTTTGATTCACCCACCTTCTCTTCCCTCACTCCTACCCTCAATAAACAACTCCATGTGGCTCCTAATTCATGGCAGGAGTCAGGGAATTCTCTTGGACATTTTCCTTTTAGTTAACTCCAGCTAGTCTCCAAGAGTGAGTGACAGTTGTACGCTCCAAACTCTAATTGAATTTCTTTGAGTCATCGTAATGAAAACGAACCACAACCAAGTGATTGTTATGAAACGTTACTTTAGAAAGTAGTTGTGTTCTAGTCCAGTATTCTTATAATTAAGGCAGCTTTAATATCTTTATCTCTTTCTTTTCTCTCTTTCTAAGGTAATTTTAACTAGCTCAAAGCAAATTGACAAGTCTTATCTGTACACCTTTCTAAAACCATGGCTTGGCCTAGGACTTCTTACAAGGTAAGTCAGTATAAATTGGTAAACCTGTCTTGTGTCAGTCACTGACAAGAGGTGGTTTTCAAGAATGTGCTGTCAGGTAGTAAGGAGAAGCTGAAAAGGTTGGGTGATAATGGATCTCTGAGACACAGAAACCCAGGGTGTAGAGTAATCTCCAGCCATGGTATTCAATGATGATGATCAGCATTGTTCCAAGGAGAGTTAGAAATTCCCAATGTATAAAGGGAGTGCGGCACAGGAGAGTTTTGAGCAGGGAAATCTTGAAAATTCAATGAAAAAGGCAGTCATCCTCAGAGAAGTAAGGGGAGCACAGTAACCTCGGTCCTCGCGCTGCCATTCAGCAGCAGGACCCCATGAACTGAGAAGGAGAAAGCAGGACTTCCACGGAGACTTTGGAGACTTGGGAGATGTTAGGATCAAAGTAGACTCAAGGAGCTCCTTAATCTTCAGAGGCTGAGGTTGGAAAAAGGAGGGAACCTTCTAATTTTTGGAAACTCAGAACTTAGAAATCCAGGAAAATTCTTAAAATTTTCAATTTTGATGAGTGCTCTTTTAAATATTAGTAATATAGAAGGATATCTAAAATATGCCCATTCTGTAACTGTATATGAATCTCCCCTTAACATTCTGACCAAAGCATTTGGGAATCTGTGGATTAAGGAGAATTTGTTGTCTTGACTATGCCTTATTTGTTTTGGATGTTACTTTTCTCTTCTTTGTAACCATGTCTTGTATTTCTAGTACTGGAAACAAATGGCGCTCCAGGAGAAAAATGTTAACACCGTCTTTCCATTTTACCATTCTGGAAGAGTTCTTAGATGTCATGAATGAACAAGCCAACATATTGGTTAATAAGCTTGAAAAACATGTTGACGGAGAAAAATTTAACTGCTTTTTTTACATCACACTTTGTGCCTTAGATATCATCTGTGGTAAGTCTCATTGATTTGTTTCTAGAGCTAGGTGAAAACAGAAAATGGCCCAAATAGAAAATAAGACTTCACTGGGAAGACAAATGAAAGGGTTAGACAGGATATTGTTTTCTTTGGGGTGGTCCTTTCACTAAATTAGACTCCTAAGAAGCAGTGCCCACTGCTAGGGCTTTGAGTAGAGCCAACCTGCCAGGAAGGTCAGAGGGAAAGAGGAGTAGGAGTAGGGAGTAGGAGAAACAAGAGGTGCAAGAGTAAAAGGGGAAAGGAACAATTCTAAAACATAGAAGAATTTATGTCTTTTTTCAAGTGTTTGCTACTGGAAAATAAACAGAAGGCATGTGCAAGAACTGAATGATTGCTTCTCATCATATTTTGCAGAAACAGCTATGGGCAAGAATATTGATGCTCAGAATAATGATGATTCTGAGTATGTCCGTGCAGTTTATAGGTAAACGGAGTCCTTTTAATTATTTTTAAAATTGTTATTGATTCAAGCTTTATAAAATACCACTAATAACTTTTTGTCTGTGTTGTATCTTTTTCATTGTTTCACAATGAAATATTGTACTAAAAATCAACCTAATCACTTATGCATGTATTATATTTTAACAGTAGGGGATTTATTCTACAAACTATGGCCTACCCAGGCTATGTTATAATTTTTAATAATTATTTTATGATATATTGAGAAATTATATTATGACTAATGATAAGATAATGATAAAAACAATATTTTTAGCATGATAAGTTCTAGGTATAAAATTATTCACTATAAAACCTTGTAGATATTATTTCAGAATGTTAGCTATGATATTGTTTTGTGTTATGTGCTCCCCTCTCTTGTTTTTTCAAGTTGTTATTAATTCTTTCTTCTCATATTTTCTGCACTGAATATGTATTATTTTTTAATTGAAATAGTCATATTTACTTTGAAAAATTGCTGGTATTATTTAACTATTAAAATTCAGGACCAGGGTTTGATTTGAGGAATTCTGTCTTTAAATCCACTGCCCATTTCATTTTTATACATATTAGTATATATAATCTGCCACTCATTACACAAGATACTGACTAGTTTTATAGTGGTCTACCGAACAGAATAAGAGGGAGACAAGCATCAAAACAAATAAGTGTATACTTATAAACTATAATAATTGCTTAGAAAGAAAAAATAAAGTCGATATTCTAGAAGAAAACAGCAATAGGACCCACAGATTGAGTGACCTGAAAAGGCCACTCTGCAGAATTGACCTAGAAGCTGCTCTCAAAGGAGGGCATCATGTCTAGGTATTCCTGTTCCATCACAGGAAATGTTGAGGGGGGGGGGGACTCAGGACAGGGATGTGACAGAGGGCACTTTCCTGGAGAAGAGGACAGCCAGAGGAGTGATCAAGCAAATGTGTGGACATCAAACAGGCAGATCTCATCCCACCCTGTGGTATAAGAGCTACAGGCAGCTCGGGGAGGTCCAGAACTCCTCTGGAGAAATAGGAGAGATCAGATGGCCATCTAGTGAGGATGTTTTATAATGGAATCTTCATTCCTCTAAAGAGCCCATTTAATTCTTAAGCTTCCTTGGATGTGTAATAACCCATGTCTTCACTGTTGAGTATAAAGCATAGAGTTCTTAGTAGCTACTAAGACAATTATCATGGTTGCCACACATTACCCTCATGGAGATCAGGCACCAAATAGGTACATTAGCAATGCACATTTTGATATATCAGCTGATACATTTGCATCCTGTTTATAGGATGAGTGATTTGCTACATCGAAGAATGAGGACCTTTTGGCTCTGGCAAGACTTTTTGTACCTTTTGTTTAAAGATGGATGGGAGCACAAAAGGAATCTAAAGATCTTACATGATTTTACCAACAATGTAAGTCCTCATTTTATTTTATTGTGGACAAGCATACATAACATAAAATTTATCATAATAGCCATTTTAAGTGTACCAGTCTATGGCATTAGGAGCATTAACAATGTTGTGCAACTCCTACTACTATCACTTTCTAGAACTTTTATAAGTGCATGACTTCTATGTTTGTTAACAGAGCCAGTCATTAATGTTCCCTCATGGGGGAGTTTAGTCTACTGGGGAGGTTGTCTATAAATAAATAATTACAAAATGTAATATCAGCTGTGGTAGTTTATTATCAAACTGGGTGCTATGCTAAGATAATAAAGGCACAGGGATCTGTGTTATAAGAATACTCAGAAAAGTGTTTGGATTAGGCAATGATTTTCAAAGACAAAGGGCCTTTATGGCAGTATCTTAAACTGGAAAAGATAAAAAGTAACTAGATATTACTATTTAATTTGTAATGACAAGGAAATAGTAATGTTCTGGAAATTGTTCGTCTTTGTATTAAAAATTTATGAAAAGGCAAACTTTAATAGAAAATATGCATTATAATTTCAATATACTGATAAACATACCAAAGTAATTATATTTACTCTTCGCTGTAAATTTTAGTTTTCAATATGATGGCATTGCTTCCTGACAATGAGGTTCTGCCTTCACCAACAGATCAAGTGATAGAGTCCCTAGGTGTTAGATGAATGAGATGTTGGAGTGAGCTGCCTGGCAAGAGGTGAAAGGTGAACAGTTTGTATTTTATAGGTATAATTACACTTGTCTTCATATTTCATGCATTAATACCAGTATCAATGATGAATGAATTCCAGATTGGATGGATAATATTAAAAATTGCATACTGAGTGCCAGGCACCAGGGTTTCCACCAAGAAGCAAAGAGAGGACACAGTGCTTTTCTTTACTGAACTTGGGATCTGTTCATTCAAAGCAAAAGAAGGTTTAGACAATTGCCTGAAAGGAGGAAAAAGTTGAAATGTGTAACCAAATTAAGCTCAGGGGCCTTCATTCTTTTACTTACTCAATACATACCTGATGGACATTTCTAAAATGTCAAGCAGTGCTCTAAAGGTTGGAAATATATGAATGAATAAAGACAAATTTGCTGCTACACTGCAGTTGGAGGAGAAAGCCACTAAATAACAAATACAATGCCAGGTGGTAAGTGAAATGGAAAAAAGGTAAAGCAGGCTTAGGAAGAGAGTGAGTGCCAGGGACTAGGGTAGCAGTGACCCTGACAGTGTGACCATGGGCAGCAGAAATCTCAGACTAAAGAGGAAGCTAGTCATGCTGGCTTCTGAGGCAAGAGCATTCTAGGCAGAAGGAATGGTAGCATACAAGGTAAATCTGTTCTCCAATACAGCACGTAACTAGAGTGATCTATAATTAGTCTATCATATAATGATTGTGTTCTCTCCACCACCCAACCTTTTCTCATGAGCTCTTTCAACTCTCTAAGACCCTATTCATGAGACTACTACTCTACTCCCATGTTGGAAAGACTATAAAAATAGTTGTTGGAAATGATGTATTACTCCCTATAAATATTCACAGAAAGCTTTACTATTTTTTCTCTCACAAAAACCTAAGTTCCTGTTGACTGAGACAGAACAGGAAAGGCTTAGGAAAAAAATCAGTTAAAGAAGCTGGTATAGTTTCACAGGAAAATGGACTATTGAGCCATATCAAATTTCACACAAAAGCATGTGATCATTTAAATCAAACAGGTCATCCATGAACGGGCCAATGAACTAAAGAGAGAAGAAGAACGTACAAGTGATGACAAGGGCAAGACCCCTTCCAACAGAAAACGCAAGGCTTTTCTCGATCTGCTCTTAAATGTGGTGGATGATGAAGGGAACAAGCTAGACCATGAGGCCATTCGAGAAGAAGTGGACACTTTCATGTTTGAGGTATTTTGCGTTGTCGTGTTAGTATCAGGTATCCTCATTAAACAAATTACAGTTCCTGTTACATAACAAGAAATTTTTTTTTTTTTAAATTTTGATGAGAGTTAAAAATGTTAAAGGTGAAGAAAGAGCCAACAGTAATATTTAGACATGTTTAAGCATTTCATAGTCAAATTAGAAAGAACATGAAATAGCAAGCATTATTTGTAGCTACCTTTTAGAATATGTTGGATTCCTTGGCATAAGAGATGATCTGTTCTCAATTTATTTTTAACTTAAAAAGATAATTCATTTATAGGAATTCTTTAAAAAAGTTTTTAACATTTAAAAAAAAAAAGTCTGATCACATTTTGAAGTAGCTTGTTCTAACTGATGAAGACTCATTATACTATAGTTAGTAATTACAAAGTTTAAGACCCAAATTAAATACCAGATGAACTTTCTTCTTCAGATAAAGCTGTAGACTTGTATGAGTTCTTTTCTTCCCAACATCAGAGAAGTTTTCTGTCATTTCTTCAAACAGGCTTTCTTTTTTTTTATTTAATTTTTTTTTCTTTTTTATTTTATTGATTTTTCACAGAGAGGAAGGGAGAGAGATAGAGAGCTAGAAACGTCGATGAGAGAGTAACATCGACCAGCTGCCTCTTGCACAACCCCTACCGGGGATGTGCCCGCAACCAAGGTACATGCCCTTGACCGGAATCGAACCTGGGACCCTTCAGCCCGCAGACCGACGCTCTACCGCTGAGCCAAACCGGTCTCGTCAAATAGGCTTTCTATTCCTTGCTTCACTTCGTCTCCATCTGGCCCCCCTATTATACAGATGTTGTTTCCTACTCACACACCCATCTCCTCCTTCCCTCTGAGAAGGAACAATCTGTTCCTTGCTTCTATGTCTATTCCAGGCCCTTTATGCTCCTGGTCTGCCAGATTCTTGCCCTGCGCAGTTCCGCCAATGCACTTGTTGGCTCTGTGCTTTGTGTTTGCTGCCTTTGGATAGAAGACAAAATAAATCAGGAAGTTCATTTTCAAATTCAGGAGAAGCTATTAAAATTGTTAGGAAGAGCACTTCCTCTATAATTTTGCTAAACAACTCAGTGACATGGGCCAGCTTTTGTCAGAGTCCAGAGTCATTTCTGTACATAAATTCCAAGGATTTGAAAATACAATCATGCCAACATCAGAGACTTATAAATACATTTTCTCAAAATTGCAGAAAAGTCCTTAACAATTCCACTTAGGAGCTAAAACAAGTCCTTTAGAGACATCTTCCCAGGAGAGGAAATATTACAATGGTCACTTGTGTTGCTAAGGGTAAATGGACCAGTAAGAATTATTATCTTTTATTTTTCAAGTACTTTTATTTTTTTCCTGAAGAACTTATCAGTTTGCATATGGAGTGTCCTGGTGAGGTGAGGACAGGAAATGAGGGGCTGATGCCTAAAGACACTGAATGGACAGAAAATAAGATCGTCCAGTTGTCACCATCAGTATTGGAGCTGGAGTCTCCGCACCCCACATCCTCCATGCTCCCTGAGATGAAGAGTGCGGACTCTACTTTGTCATCAGAAATGCCAAGGCCCTATTCTTGCCTCCACTTCCTATGAAGCTGTTGGGCCTGGGAAAGTCATTTAGCATCTTTTGGGAATTAGTTTGTCACCTCTAAAATGTCAACAGCAGTATCAAGTATCCCATGGAGAGTTAAAAAAAATGTGTATTTTAATTGATTTCAGAAAAATATATTTTTATTGAAGGGAGAGGGAGAGACAGAATCATCAATGATGAGAGAGAATTAATGATTGGCTGCCTCCTGCATGCCCCTACTGGGGTTCGAGCCCACAACCAGAGCATGCATTGTGACCAGGAATCCAACCATGACCTCCTGGTTCACAGGTCGATGCTCAAGCATTGAACCAGGCTAGATGTGCTCCCATAGGTTTTTTGTGAAGAATAATTGAGTTCTTTTCTACAAAATGTTTGGTATTTTGCCTCAAACTCAGCAAGGTTTAAGTGGGGCTATTTATCAACTTCTTGATGTGGAGACCAACTCAGAACTACCCATGTGCTCCCTGGTGTCCGGATAAAGCTGACCTTACAAGGGGGAGACAGTGGAGAAGTGCAGATCTGACCACTTGGCTCAGGAAAGTCACACTTTTATTTCCTCAAAAACAGTCCAACGCACAGAGTTCCCTTGGAAGGCCTCCTGATAGCCCAGCCCAGCCCATACTCTCACCAAGTATGTGACTCTGTCCTATTGAAATGTCCCTGTACCAGAGGCATCCCCTTTGAAGGAATTGTTTCATTGGTTTGTTCTTTACAGAGGTAAAATACTGTATGAAATTAACTTGTTCTGTCTGGGGTCATGTCACAGCTGTCAAATCCAGAGACAATTCAAAATAGAGCTAGCATCCGTAACCTTCTCAATAGAACTCTGTTTTTTAAGCTATTTCCCCCCCTCTTACATTGTAGGGCCATGACACAACTGCAGCTGGAATAAACTGGGTGGTGTATCTTTTGGGTTGTTATCCAGAAGTCCAGAAAAAAGTGCACAATGAACTGGACGAAGTGTTTGGTATGTATGGCCCCGTCACAGCTTTCACCAAAGGTCCCAAGTCACTGAAGCAAATGGCTTTCTTCCTCATAAAGAAAGTGCAGTCGGGGCTGTTCTAAAGACACTGTAATAAGCAGGAAGGCTGCCATGTGGGACCCCTTCCAGGCCTAATGTTCTTTCAAAACCTCACCCATTTGTTTACAGGCGCTTGCTGATTGCTTGGCTTGAGACTGCTCTGGGCCAGATGCTGAGGCTACTCAGATACATGTCCCTGTACTCAAGGATCTTGCTGCTTCATAGACAAAGCAGACACTGTGTAGAAAATACCAAGTCATGGCTGTGTGCTTGGGCAATATGAGGAAGGAAGGGCCTAAAGGAGAGCTTAGAGGAGAGGTGAAACTGGTTAGTGGGGTCCAGGAGAGCTGTTCCATATGTGATTGCTGTGGGTTAAGCTGATGGAACATAAATTATTTTGCACAAACAGTAACCTGTAGGTAAGGAGTCCTAGGCTGATGCCAATAGGGATGTTGGGAAAATACCATGCTTTCTCTTTTTTTTTCTCTGTCATTTTCATCTTTGTGGGTTTTGTTTTCTTGATCATTTTCTGGATCTCATATTTATCTTTAAGGCAAGAAGACGGGGGAGGAGGGGATGGAGGATTATATTAGTCTCCTTTGCCTGCGGGCACAGATACTGCAAACTGGGTGGCTTGGCACAATAGAAATTTATTCTCTTATTGTCCTGGACAGAAGGCCCAGATCAGTATCTCTGAGTTAAATAAATGTGTTGGCAAGGCTGTACTTTTTGGAAGTCTGAAGGAAAAATGCATTCCTTCTGGTGACTGCCAACATACCTTGGCTTATGGACTCATCATACAAATCTCTGTCTCTATCTTCACACGACCTTCTCTTCTGTGTGTGTGTGTCAAATCTCCCTCTGCTCTCTCTTATCAAGACAATTGTGATGGCATTTATGGCCCACCTGGATAATCACGATTATCTCTCCATTTTAAGATCCTTCATAAAATGTTCAAAAGCAACTTTTTCCCAAAAAAGTAATATTTAAACGCTCTAGGAATTAGGACCTGATATATTTGAGGGTCATGATCAACCTACCACAAAGGAACTGTGCATTGTGCCATCAACTTAAACCATTGTTTAATCAGATGTCATATGGCTTCCCACAGCTGGGAAAAGAAAGGTAAAGGTAAGTTAGTCAATCAACAAAGTTGTATCTAATGGATTTTCCTAGTGCAAAGTGAGAACAAATAATAAAGGAGAAGAGGAGGAGGTGGAAGGCATTCTGGGAAGAGAGGCTCCTGGTGCACAACGGCAGAGTAAAAAGGTGGCAGATAATAGTAAGCATTAAAGGAAAGGTGGAAATCAGCACATTTGTTAGAACCACTGAGAGGTGAAGTTGGAAAAGTAATTTTATGTCCAGATGGTGTGAAGACTAGATTTTCATATATAGATGGAAGACTGTATTTTGTAGAATGGAGACAATCTAAACTTCTGGGCTCTGTTTCTGTCACCATTTCATTTTTCTTGTTTCAAGTTGAATTTCTCTCAGATTGCCTCTGGGTAAATTGTGTATTCCAGAGAATGGGGTTCTTTTGGAGTGTGTTCCCATGCTTTTGTTTTTTACAATTTCTAGCCCAATGCTGGTGTCACAGTGCTTTTGGATCTCACATAAGTAGTGACACCATTTTTACTAGGATTTTTATTCTGCTGCTTTTCATGCTTTTTGCTAATTTCAACTCACTTCTCTTCTATCCCCAATATTATTCTAAAATTTTTTGAGCAACTGATCTTTGGGTATTGAGATGTTCAGTATTCATTCCTCTTTTTTATTTTATTCATTGAGGTAAACTTCACACTTAGTTTCATTATAATAAAGCAATTGGTACACTTTTAGTGTTTAATTGATCATTATCTTTTCTTTCCAGTAAAACAAACAAAATATTTTAAATAAACGGGAACAAGATTACAATAAAGAATGACGGTTCCCAATAAGATTCTGCAGGTCTGCTCTTCTCCCATTGTGTGGCAGGGCCCAGGCCATTATTAGGAGAGAATTTTATTTTAAAAGTATCATCTTAAACTGCAAGGAAGTCCAGTAGCATCACAACTAAACATACCAAAGGGGAAGCCTTGATGTCAAAATGCTACTTAACTAACCCAAATATCACCTTTGACCTTCTATAAACCCATTTTCTTTTTTTAGTTTTAAAAAATGTTCCATACAAGAGGAAGTAGACAGGTGTACGTTGGTAAATGCTAACTGTCCCCCTTCACAGAGACGCAGTGTAATCTGTGTGTGCAATGTACAGAGAAAGGAGGGAAAAAGCTAGAATTCTGTGCACTGCTTCAGGGGCTGAGCCTCCAGCCTCCAGCGGAGCAATGTAAGCAAAAGTTTTTTCTTTCCCAGGGAGCACAGGGACATTGATTTCTTATAGTGTTTGTTGAGTCGAAAGGGATAAAAGTTAATTTGGATTTGTATGCGTGTATCTATCCCTTAGCAATGGACACAGACACCAGTGGGTGAGAGCATGCGTGGGGGTGTAGAGAGGTAATGGGAGGATAAGAACACATGTATAATAGCTTAATCAATAAAGAAAAAAAAATTGCGGGGTAAAAATACTGTTAAAATTTTTTTAAAAAGTGAATTTGGAACAGAAAGCATTAGAGATTCTTTTCCCACTGTATTCCGATCAAGGTAATTCCCCCAAATAAATTGGAACAAGGATGTAAGGGAGAGAAAAGGCAAGAGCAGAATGACTGAGCCTAAGACTAAAGCAAAACACAAAACAAAAAACCCAGACTGTAACTTGCTCCTAGTGATTGGGGAAACTATTAAAAAGGTTGGAATCCATCAGTGTTCCTTAGTCATCTTCTCCTTCATCCTCATCAGATTCTTCGTTGGTAGCTTTCAATCCTCTTCCTCTCCCCCTCCATCACCTTCTTCTCTTCTCCTTCCCCTTCTTCATCTTCCATATCAGGAGGCAAGTAGTAATGAATTGGATTTTGGCAAACACCACCTTGGAAGATCTCTCCACCTTATCTGCACCTGCATCAGAGTGGCCATAAACCACATTTTTGGTTCTCAGCCTCTTCCTGCTGGCTTTATCCTGCAGTGCATTTGAACATTTCATCAAATCCTTTCCAGATATTTCAGTGGACTTGAAAATGCATCATGGCTTGTGCTCCAATGAAATTCTTTGGGTGCACTTATTTTCCAAGGAAGAGTATTCATTGAAATGAAAAGCTGTTCTGTGACCTGATTTATTACTTTTCAATTCTGTGCTTCAACTCTGGTAAAATAATCCAGTCCATTTCCATCCATCTCTCCAAGCAGTGCAGGCATAGAGATGGTTGCAAATGTTTATTGAAAATTTGGGATTTGGGTTATCAATTTCTACCTCTTCTGAAAAACAATGGTAGGCAAAATTGGTTATATTGTTGATCTTCAGGATCTTCTCACTGGCTTTTTCATTGAGTTGGTCTGTATCATTTATTGCTTCCTCAAAATGTTTGGTTGCTTCCTTCTGTGTTTTTTCTCCTATTGTCAGGTTCAAGTAGCCATTTGGATTTCTTTTATTTTTAAAATTTAATAAATCTTTATTGTTCAGATTATTACAATTGTTCCTCTTCTTCCTCCCATATCAATCCCCATCCCCACATAGCTCCCACTCTACCCTCTCTTTATGTCCTCTCCCACTGTCCTCATCCATTTTTTTCCAGTCTCTTCCTGTAACTCCCACACCTCTTCCTCCCTTAGAATTATCAATCCACTCCCTTTCTATGCCCCTGATTCTATTATATTTATTCTATTATATTATATTTACCAGTTTATTCTGTTCATCAGATCTTTTATTCACTTGATTTTAGATTCACTTGTTGATAGATATATATTTGTTGTTCATAATTTTTATCTTTATCTTTTTCTTCTTCTTTTTAGAGAATACCTTTCAGCATTTTATATAATACTGGTTTGGTGGTGATGCACTCCTTTAGCATTTTCTTATCTGTAAAGCTCTTTATCTGACCTTAAATTCTGAATGATAGCTTTGCTTGGTAGAGTAATCTTGGTTGTAGGTTCTTGCTATCCATTATTTTGAATATTTATTGCCACTCCTATCTGGCCTGCATAGTTTCTGTTGAGAAATCAGCTGACAATCATATGGGTGCTCCCTTGTAGGTAATTAACTGTTTTTCTATTGCTGCTTTTAATATTCTCTCTTTGTCTCTTGCCCTTGGCATTTTAATTATGATGTGTCTTGGTGTGGTCCTCTTTGGATTCCTTTTGTTTGGGGTTCTGTTTGCTTCCTGGACTTGTCAGTCTATGTGTTTCACCAGGTAGGGGAAGTTTCTGTCATTTCTTCAAATAGGTTTTCAATATCTTGCTCTCTCTCTGCTTCTGGCACTCCCATAATTCAGATGTTGGTACATTTCAAGTTGTCCCAGAGGCTCCTTACATTATCTTAAAATTTTTGGATTATTTTTTCTTGTTGCTTTTTCTGTTGAGTGTTTTTTACTTCTTTGTATTTCAAATCTTTGACTTTATTCTTGCAATCCTCTAGTCTGCTGTCAGATCTCTGTATAATATTTTTTGTTTCAGTCAGTGTATTCTTAATTTCTACTTGGTCCTTTTTCATATCCTCAAGGGTCTCACTAAATTTATCAGCCTTTTCTAGAAAATTCTTGAAAAATTTATAACAGTGGTTTTGAACTCTATATCCAGTTGTTTGCTTTCCTCTATTTCTTTCATTTGTGATCTGTTTCTTTGTCTCAGCATTTTCACAGCTTACCTGAGTTGGTAGTGTAGCTTTGCGTGTTAGGTGTCCTATAGGGCCCAGTGGCTCAGCCTGAGGGAGACACTCTTTGTACACCTCTTGTGGGCTGTGTGCATAGTCTTATTGTAGTTAAGCCTTGATTTTTATTGGTATCACTGGGAGGAATTGACCTCCAGGTCAATTGGCTGTGAGGACCAGCTGTTTATGCAGGGTGAACTTCTGTGCTGGAGACACCCTTATGAGACAAGACTTGCAAAATTGCAAAAGCCTCTGTGCTCAGCTTAGATGGGGCAGAGACTCAGGGAGGAACAGACTGCCATGGTTTCCTGTCAGCCCTGCCCTATGAGGCCCCTGGGTCTCAGCATCCCGTGGTAATCACTGCAAGCACCTCTGAGAGATGCTGCCAGACAGTCCATTTGTTCCCCGCATGAGTCTGGGTTCCCAGAGTCTTGACCGGAACTGGAGTTCAGCGCAGTCAGGAGCTTCCCTCTCCCTCCTACTTGAGAAAGTCAGACATGCACTCAGCAATCAGTTCTCTCCATGCATGTGCCTCCGGATCTCTGCCTTCTCAGCTCCTCTGAGTCTCAGTGTGCTTTTCTATTTTCTTGATAGTCCAGATTCACCCTTTATGAATATGGGTCCCCAAGATCTTGCCTGGAACTGGAGTTCAGTGCAATCAGGATCTTCTGTCTCCCTCCCACTGGAGAAAGCCAGCCACGCTCTCAGCCGCCAGTCCTCTCTGTGCATACATCTCTGTACCTCAGCTTTTTGCAGCTCATCTGATTCTCAATGCGGTTTTCCTTTCCTTCTAGTTGTAGAATTTCCACTCAGCAGCTTTCCTGTGGTTCTGGATGGTGTCTGTTTTGTCTTTTAGTTTTAGTTTTGAAATTGTTGTGCAAAACAGAAATTTAGGTGTTTACCTATGCTTTCATCTTGGTTTCTCTCCGGATTTCCTTTTGAAGTGGGAATGGAGGGCGTTTGGGGGGCAGGTTATTGGGAGAGTCCAAGAATCAGACCCAGGAGAAGATACACTACTGGAAGTGGCTCTGAGAATTCTAATTTAATGTTTTAAACATTACTTTCATGCAATTACAGTGTTATGTATCTGCCACCTCTATCTAATTCCAACCTATTTCAGTAGCCTAACGGAAACCCTGCACCATTAATCTGCCAATCTCCATTCCTCTTCCTCCAGCCACTGGCAGCACCTCATTTACACGTGGTCTTTTAGACTTATTTACTCTGAGTATTTCCTCTAAATTTAATGATACAACATGTGACTTTTTGTACCTTTTTCTTTCTTTTTTATTTAGCATTATTATCTCATTTTATTTTGATTATCTATACTATTAAGAATTTTACTTTAGCTGTTGGTATTTAACATTCACTGTATTGATGTTATAATATATTCTTTTTTGATGTCTTATTTGCCAAACCCAAATAATTCTTTCATTTATTTTATTTCATGTATTTACTTTGACCAGGGAGTTCTGATCGCCCTGCTACCTTAGAAGACCTGAAGAAACTTAAATACCTGGAGTGTGTTATTAAGGAGACCCTTCGTATTTTTCCTTCTGTGCCTTTCATAGGCCGTGAACTTAATGAAGATTGTGATGTTGGTGAGAATTATTTCATGAAAGTGGTGGGGAGAGTGGACTTTTCTGTGTGTCTCTGTTCTCATGACATTTCAACTGTCTCATGACAGGGGGATACAAAATCATGAAAGGCTCTCAAATACTCATCATTACCTACGCACTGCATAGAGACACAAAGTACTTCCCAAACCCTGAGGAGTTCAAGCCAGAGCGGTTCTCTCCTGAGAATTCCACGGGACGCCATCCATACGCATATGTGCCCTTCTCTGCTGGACCCAGAAACTGTATAGGTTTGTATCCATCAGAATCGTTTGACCTTTTGGAAAGGGGTTTCTCACAATAATGTCTTTGAGATGTAGTGTCTCAGATCCAAGTCTGTTAAAATATTGGTTGTTTTATTTTTTTCTCCAGTTTACTATGACTGTCATAAAGTATATAAGTTTTCTAGGGCTGCTGTAACAAAGCACCACAGACTGGGTAGATAAAATGACAGAATTTTATTTTCTCACAATTCTAGAGGCCAGAAGTCCAAAATCAAGGTGTCAGCAGGGCTGGTTTCTTCTGAGGCCTCTCTCCTTGGCTTATAGATGGATGTCTTTTTCTTGTGTCTTCACGTAGTTTATTCCTCTGTGTGTGTGTGTGTGTGTGTGTGTGTGTATGTGTGTGTGGTGTGTGTGGGTGTTTCTTATTAACCCTATTCAAGGATATATTTTTTATTGATTTTTAGTGAGAGTGGGAAAAATTGATGTGAGAGAAACATTGATTGGTTGCCTCCCTTACATGACATTTTATTGTTTATGTAAATGCAGGCATTGGTGCAATGAGGCCTGGTAACTCTATAGTAAACTACATGAAAGGTCCAGGAGGAGAGCATTCTAGAGCAGTGGTTCTCATGCTTCAACAAGTCCAGGATTCATCTGGGTGCTGTGTGGGCTGGATTCTTTGTCCTCAAAACTATTCAGATGCCCTGGGTGGGAGCAGGGAAGGGAACTCAAGAATCTTTATTATTAGGAAGCATCCTGAGTGATACTGGTTCCCCCAGGGCCTACTGTGAAAATCTAGCATCACTTGCTTCCTCTGATAGAACTTGTTCTTTCTCCCATTTGAGATAGATCTGTAATAAATTCATGTTATTTACATTTGAAGGTCAGAGGTTTGCCATGATGGAAGAAAAGGTCCTTGTTTCATGCATCCTGAGGCATTTTTGGGTCGAATCCACCCAGAAAAGAGAAGAACTTGGTCTGGCAGGAGAGCTGATTCTTCGTCCTTCTAATGGCATCTGGATCAAGTTGAAGAGGAGAAATGCAGAAGCATCCTAACTGTGCTATTAGGCTGTGCCTTAGTAGGAATAAGGTCTTTCTTTAAGAGAAACTTTGTATTTACAATGTGCAGATCATGAATTTAATAGTCTTAATCACTACACCTAATTTTTTCTTATCCCCATTTACCTTGGGGTCAAGTCTACCAAAGAGAGAGTTTTTATAGTTTCATCACCACCATTATCTTACCCTTGGTCTTAATCACAAAAGGCAAGTTAACTGATGTCCATTAAATAAACATACATTTCTCAACAGAGGGATCCATAGGCCAATTCATTTTTAATCAACAGACCCAAATTTGAGGTTCCCAAAATTTTTAAGGTATTCTTATTGAACACAAATATACATATATACATGTATAATTGAAAAGTATATATACATAAATACTTAAGCTTGAGCTTAGGTTTTAAAAATTATATCAGTTTCATCAGTTTTGAGAATCATTATGATGATGATACTTTTCAGATTTTATCAAGAAGAGCAGATCCTTTATAACTGACTCAAATGTTCTGTTCCTATTTCCCTTTTAACCGTGTACTTATGGCCTTCATTTCATTTCATTCTACATAACTTCACAATTACCTTTACACATCAGATATTACCGGGAGAGTTTCCTCTTGATCTCCAGTCCCTCATAATGGCTTTTGGAGCTGGAAGCACCTTAAACCTTATTAGATTATACTCCTTTTCATTTGAAGGGGATAAGATCAATCAGGAGTAAGTTTCTATCCAAAGTCATACCACCAGTGGGTGTCAGGGCTGGAAATAGATAGAAGTCTAAACACTAAAGCTCTACTACAATATGCTAATGCTTTATGAAACTCAGACCTGTAACTGTGTGTATCATTAGAATACAGATCTAGAATTCTCCCATCATTAAGGAGAAGAGATGCCACACATGTATAGTAATCCAGCACTTGGTTTAGGGTGAAACTTCTGGGAAATTCAATTCTCCAGAACATACCTATCAAACTGGTAACTGACACAATTCCCTAAATTTTAATTCCATCTTTACTCCCTCAGTGACTTTTAAAAAAAACTTCTTTTAATAAATAATTTTAATGAGATTGTTTCTGTTTCTAAATTGATTTTAGAGTGGGAGGAATGGGGAGAGAGAGAAACACATTGATGTGATGTGAGAGAGCTACCTTGATCCATTGTTTCCCATTCACCTTCCAATTGGGGATCGAACTCACACCTAGGTATGTGCCCTGTCTGGGAATCGAACTTGTGACCTTCTGGTGCATGGGACAGAAATTGTTTCTTTAGTTTTCTCAAGGGAATAGCAGGTAGAAGCAACAGACTAAGAGAATGGAATATATATTTTTTAATGGTTATCAAAGAAAGAGGTGACCCAACCAAAGCCTTCAGGCAAGCATTATGGTCTTGGTCATTTAAGGCAGGGTCAATATCTCTATGCACTTTACCATCCAAAGACCCTCAGTGCAGACAGGTCAGTCCATATATTGCTGAGAAAAAGTCAAGAAAGTATATGATGCAGTTGAAAATGATTCCCAAGATATGGTAAGGTTCATTATCTAGAAAGTAGATATATGTAGAAAATTCGTTTCCAGGTGATTTTGGAAAATTGAAGTTTTATTCTTGGAAATTGGTATTACTTATCAATTTCATGCACTTACATTTAAATCTTGCCTTTCAAAAATTTACTGACCCTACACTAGACATGAAATTAAATTTAAAGCAAAGCTTTGCTTTCTGTTACATTTTGGCTTAAAATCTTCATTTGGCCCTAGAAAAAAATTTATTTTTCATATTTTAATTGGAAACTCACTTAACCTGTGTCAGTTAGATGGAATTTGAGTGGAGAAAGTATGCCATGGTTGCAGTATCAATATGAAGATGCTGACGTGTTTATTATTTATTTATTTATTATTAAATATATTTTATTGATTTTACACAGAGAGGAATTGAGAGGAATAGAGAGCTAGAAACGTTGATGAGAGAGAAACATCAACCAGCTGCCTCTTGCACATCCCCCACTGGGGATGTGCCTGCAACGAAGGTACGTGCCCTTGACCAGAATCGAACCCGGGACCTTTCAGTCCGCAATCTGACACTCTATCCACTGAGCCAAACCGGTTTCGGCTCATGTGTTTATTTTTATATAAGAAGATGATCAAATATCTGCTTGTGTCCCTATTACCGAACATGCTCCTGCTTGAATGAGGTATCTTAAGAAGAATCAATTGCATTTTAGACATAGGTGCTACATTTTATTCTAAGAACTGATGTCTGTTTGAAATATAGCTAACTTTAAAAGATAGTAGGTGACTGCTTCATAATCTATACCAATAAAAGCGATAATATGCTAATTAGACCAGATAGCCAATAAACAAAGATGCAGTGGTGGGGGCCAAGTCAGATGTGGTTAGGGATGATCAGGCAGGTGCTTGGATGACTGGCAACCATTGCTGTTTGTTCTGCCCTGGTGATTCCCTGAGACCCTCCCCCATCCAATTTATAACCCCACACAAGCTGTGTGCAGCAGCTATTGCATATAAATGGCCTGTGATTTCTCAGTTTAAAACCTGTAAAACTGCAGTGGGCTCAGAGAGCCCCAGAGCTTCCCAAAAAAGTCCCAAGGCCCAGCAGCAGCAGCAGCAGCAGGCTGCCTTGCTTCATAGCTGGGCTTTGTTTGGGGACTTCCAAACTCCATACAAAGAGGAGGAATCTGCATATGTCTCTGTAGCTCCTGATGAGTGGCCTCAGACAGTGACTGACTTTGCACCTCCTTGGAGGTCCAAGAGCCAGTGTACCCAGTTTGTGTGAGAACATACTAGATTGCAATTCTTCACATCCATAAGTGACACACTCAAGGGGCAGACTCAGTGAGAACCAAACCCCCAATGAAGAAGCCCTGCCCAATAAGGATGTCTCCTGCATAGCAGTCATTCCATTGTAGACACAGTTGGTCCTCACAGCCAGTTGGCCTCAGGTCAATTCCTACCAGTGTCACCAACAGCAATCAAGTCTCAACTACAACAAGACTGTGCACACAGCCCCCAAAGAAGTGCACCAAGAGAGTCCACCTAAAGAGATTGAGGAGGCTGAGCCACTGGGCCCTATAGGACACCTACCACACAAGGCCACTCTATCAACACAGGGAAGCAGCCAAAATGTGGAGACAAAGAAACGTCATGAATGAAATAAATGGAGGAAAGCAAACTACTGGATATAGAGTTCAAAACCACAGTTATAAGGTTACTTCTAAAAACCTCTGAGGAACTTAGTGAGACCTTCAAGGATCTTAGTGAGATTGAAAAAAGAAAAAAAAAAAAAAGAAAAAGAAAAAGAAAAAAGGAAAGGACCAGTCAGAAATCAAGCATATACTGACTGAATTTAAAGAATAATATACTGAGATTAAACTGCAGACTAGAGGATCCCATGAATCAAATCAAAGATTTGAAATATGAGTAATCAAAAACACCCAACCAGAAGAGTAAAAATAAAAAAATAATCCAAAAATATGAAGATAGTGTAAGGAGCCTCTGGGACAACTTCAAGGGTACCAACATCTGAATTATGGGGGTGCCAGAAGCAGAGGGAGAGCAAGATATTAAAAACCTATTTGAAGAAATAATGATAGAAAACTTCTCCTACCTGGTGAAAGAAATAGACTTACAAGTCCAGGAAGCTCAGAGAACCCCAAACAAGAGGAACGCAAAGAGGATCACACCAAAACATATCATTATTAAAATGCCAAGGGCAAAAGACAAAGAGAGAATATTAAAATCAGCAAGAGAAAAACAGTTAGTTACCTACAAGGGAGCACCCATGTGACTGTCAACTGATTTCTCAACAGAAACTATTCAGGCCAGATGGGAGTGGCAAGAAACATTCAAAGTCTTGAATAGCAAGAACCTACAACCAAGATTTCTCTATCCAGCAAAGCTATCATTCAGAATTGAAGGTCAGATAAAGAGCTTCACAGATAAGAAAAAGCTAAAGGAGTTCATCACCACCAAATCAGTATTATATGAAATGCTGAAGGTTATTCTTTTAAGAAGAGGAAGAAGAAGAAAAAGGCAAAGATTAAAAAAAAAATATGACCAACAAGGTGACAATAAATACATATCTATGAACAAGTGAATCTAAAAATCAAATGGCTAAAAAATCTGATGAACAGAATAAACTGGTGAATATAATAGATTCAGGGGCATGGAAATGGAGCAAACTGACAAATCTCTAGGGGAAGAGGGTATGGGAGGTGCAGGGAGAGACTGGACAAAAATGGTACACCATTGGATGAGGACATTGGGGGTAGGGTGAGTTTATAGGGTGGGGTGGAAAGTGGGTGGAGGGGAGCTATGGGGGGAAAAAAGAGGAACATTTGTAATAATCTGAACAATAAAGATTAAAATAAAAACAATAAAGTCAGTACCTAGATACAGGGAACTAAGATAATTTAAAATGTTTGCTACTCTGGTGAGTAAAATGGCATCTATCAATAGTTTGTTTAACTTGCCAGTAGTTTTGGTTCTTAACAATTTTTCATGTACTTAATTCGTTTCTTGTTTTAGTTTTGCAAATTACCTTTTCATATCCTTCAACCACTTTTTAAAAATCAGAGTGCTCTACTTCTCCTTAGTGATTATGCAATTTTTTAAAAACAAAATCAAATATCCCAAATTCTATGGACCCAGAGCCCTGTGTGATATAAACATAACTTTATGTCATGAGATAACTTGTATAACATTGTTTTACATACACTCTAACATACAATACAAAAAGCCCCTCTTCAAGTTGTCATCATTATCATCATCATCATCACCAACTTATGAGGATAAACAAGAATACTCACTAGAACTTTCTTTCTGGTTCTCTCCAAAGTTAGTACTCTTACCCCGGTCCCAGTCACCTGGCAGCTGACAAAGGCTCAGGCTCAGAATGGGGGCTCTCAGGCAAACACCACTCATTGTTTACACCCTTTCTATGCATTGGGAATGGGTAGGTGGCAGCTTAGTAATTATGAATCAGCAAAAAATGCCAGTCATATAAGAAGCAGGCCACTCCTGGGTACTTCACAACTTGTATTCCCAGAAGCTCCCACTAAAGAGTTCTCTGCTCTTTCTAAATATAAACATTACCTACAGGCAAGGCATGTTAGCCACACCTATGAGAAGGAGAGAAGCAATTTTTTTAGATTGGGTTGTCAGAAGAAAGTCCAGGGTTAGATTACTCAGAGGAGTTGGACAGTACAGAGGAAATTTAAACTTGAGTGTTAATGAAATACATGTGTCTAAGCTGCCCATCCCCTGAAAGACAGTACAAAATTAGACATGATTAAAATTGAAGCTTGACTATTGCCCTAAGCCATGGACAGTGTTGTTATGGGAATACTAGATTCCCAGTGCATGAAATTCATGCATGGTGGGAGGGGCTAGACCCTTAGCCCAGCCTGCACCCTATCCTATCTGGGATCCTTCTCGCAATTCAGAACTACTGGCTCCTAACCACTCACCTGCCTGCCTGCCTGATGCCTCTAACTGCTCTCCTACTGGCCTCCTGGTACTAATTGCTCTCCCCTGGTGACCTGATCCCTCTAACTGCTCTGCCCTCCTGGCCTGATTGCCTAACTGCCTATCTGCTCCCCTCTTTTGGCCTGATCCCTCTAGTTGCCTATTGGCTTTCCCCTCCTAGATTGATCCTCCTAATTGCCTAAATGCTCCTCCCTGCTGGCCTGATCCCCCTAACTGCCCTCTGCTCCTGGCCTGATTGCCCTCACTGTCTATCTGTTCTCCCCTCTGGCCAAATTACTCTAACTGCCTATCTTCTCTCCGCTCCTGGCCTGATTCTCCAAACTGCCTATCTGCTTTCCCTCTTTGAGCCTTTCAGACCTCAGTGCAGGTGAGCTGAGAGCTCTCTGCTGAGGCCCCGCCCCCATCCTGATTAGTTGTTACGTGATGGCATCCCAGATAATTTGCATATTCTTCTATTATTAGTATAAATCTTGTGGTTAACAGCAGTTGACCAGCCAGAGGGAATTCACTACTGGAGTTGGAAAAGCTTTTAAGCATACTTTGGAGTGGGTCTTTTAATGTAAACCCAAGAGTATAAGAGTAAAGGTAACAATAATGATATGTGGGATACAGAACTATGAACAATTCCAAACAGCAAATACGAAAAAATATATATTTTCAGCTTGTCATATACATGCATTGGCTTAACTTATCTAAAAACACAGCTTATAGAAATTGAGCTAATACTGCCTTGCACAATACTAGAGAAAATATAACATAAAACCTCATGTTGCTGAGGCCTGGAATTCAGGGTCAAGGTGATATAAAGAAAGTATGAACCAACGCTGAGTAACCTATTGCCATATCTTTTCCATTGGTTAGAATAAAGCCAGGAGCATAGGTTGAACTATTCTATTTCTCTGACATAGGAATCTGTCTTGTATGAGAGTTAGACCAATTTTCCCTTCTTCCAAATGGCAAACAAGGTTGGAAATATGGTGACATTTTTACTTAAGATGTTTAGTGCTGTGAATAGCCAAAATTTCCTTAGTTGTGATGACCAAGTACATGTACATTTAGTGTTCTGCCATTTCCTGAGTAGCACCTTCCCTCTGCGAGTTCACAGGCTGCCACATGAACATGTTCCAACATACGGCATTTTTGGATGTAGACGTTGCAGATGCTTTTGTCTGTCGAACCATTTGCACCTATCACCCCAACTGCCTCTTCTTTACTTTCTATACCAATGATTGGAATATAGAATCGCAAAGGTGATTTGCAATGTGTAGCCTTTGCTGCTGTCCCGTCATTGCTTTTATTTTATGCGTTGAGTATTTTAAAAGTTTGGTTCATTTCCCTCAGCATGCTGTACACCTACCAATGAAGTAGGTATTTTTCTGCCAGGTGCAAATTAGTTAGGAAATTAGCACACTTCTGTACCCTCTTCCTCTTCCTCAGCATACCACAGAGTCCAGGGACCAGCCATGGAAAAAGAAGGATCTGATCTCTTTATTGCTGATCTTAATGTTTTGTATTAGCTTAATGTTTTGTATCACTCACCAGAAGCATATTCTTCAAGCATCTCCTTCTAACTCCTTTGTTTCAGAAATCAGAGCCCTGCTTCTCCTGGCCAAGGTTCTGGTTTGACCTGTTTACCCTCAGACAACCCACCCTTTTCTTTATCAACAGGAGGGAGCTAAGAGAAGTGCATCGCTCACTGGTTGGGCATTGAATGATTGCGGATTCAATTCCCAGTCAGGGCTCATGCCTGGTTGTGGGCTCAATCCCCAGTCGGGGGGTTCTGAAAGGTAGCCAATCGATGTTCTGCTCTCACATTGATGTTTCTCTTTAAAAAATAAAAGAAAAAGTACCCAGTTATATAATAGTGTCAGTGGCATAAATCCCCAGAATGTGTTCCTTGTTCTGTCTTTTTTTTCTGGTTCCCCCCGCCAGCCCTGCAGACTGAATTAGTTGGAAGAGAATCTCTCAGAAGAATAAAATTGGCAGGCTGCTGTTTTTTAAATTGGGTTGGGGTTTGTTTGCCTTTAATGCTGTTTCTTTCTTTCCCTTACCTTTTTTGTTTGTTTCTTTTTTGTTTTTGTTTTTTAATAGAAATGTGTGTTTACTAAGACTTCCAAAAGTGGGATATCAAGTTCCCCTGCTCCTCAGGAAAACACCGTGTCTGGATATAGCCTTCTAACCTGCACACGAACTTTACCTGGTAATGTTTCCATCATCTTACATATAATATGACTGATTTTATTACCTTTAAGTAACAGTGATGAAACAATCCTTGGTGTGCCAGAAACTTGTGTAAATTCGGCTTATTGCTTTTTGCATTTTATATCTTCTTATGTTTATAATCACCACAGAGCCCTGCCATTCAAAACTTTACGCAGGAGTTGATTTTGGAGGGGAAGAACTGAGCGTGTCCCTCGTTAAAGGAGCGAGTGGTTGCCAGGAGACCTGCACGAAGATGGTGCGCTGTCAGTTTTTCACTCACTCTTTTCTCCCAGAAGACTGTTGAGACAAGTAAGTGAGAGTTCATTTTTCAATGATAGTCGGCAAGACAATTTTATGAAATGTCCCCGCCTGTGAGGGTTTACCCTTTGTTCTGATCGTGTCATGGAGTTGTAGATGTTCCTTGCGATTATCTTTGGATGGTTCTCTGACTGGAATCAGAAATACCATGGCTGACATGTACACAAAAGGAACTGTTGGACATTGAAATTGGGACTCAAAAGAACTGTTGGCCCAGAAAGGAACTCACTAAAGACTGATTCATTTGCCTCTCAGCATAACCATTATGGTTTGTCTCGGTTTCGGTTCTTATAAAGAAATTCCTTATATCACATGATCTAATGAATCTAGGGGAATAAATTGATGAACAGAAACAGACCTGGAGACAGAGACGCAGCAATCAGGCTGTCAAACCTCCGAGGGAAGGCAGGGGAGGGTGGGGGCAAAAGGGAGAGATCAACCAAAGGACTGTGTGCATGCATATAAGCCTAACCAGTGGTCATGGACAACAGGGGGTGGGCATACATGGAGAGGGGTTTGGGATGGGAATGGGGGGATGAGGCACATGCCCAGGTTGGAGACTCGGTCCCCAGTGTGGGGCATGGAAGAGGCAGCAAATCAATGATTCTCTCTCATCATTGATGTTTCTGTCTCTTTCCTCTCTCTTCCTCTCTGAAATCAATAAAGATATATACATATATTAGAATCTATGTTATAAGAATTTCCAAGTTGCCTGTGATAACCTCACTCATACCAGGTGTGCCTCATTACTCTGAAGTATGTTCACACAGAAGTGACCATTTATAACTGTGTAGGTTAAGTAGAAAATTAGAAAAGTTACTAAGAGAGATGGAGTTTTTCCTTTGACACGCAGACTCTCAATGATAGGAAGGGTTAAAGATGGAGGGGCTGAAAAACCACCACAAGGTCTGGGTTCTTCACAATCCACACAACAGGACACTGAAGAGTTAAATTTCCTCAAGAGGGAAAAATCTCCAGATTCAATAAAACCTGGTTGGGTTTCAGGATACAAGTGCGAATAAACACAACCTCAACTTTTACTTGGGCATGTAATAAAGATATTGCCCTTTGTTCTGTTTTACGTTGAAACAAAAGAAAAGGGTTGGCAATAAAAAAAGCCTTACCTGTGGCTCTTTGGTATTGATAACCCTATAGGGCTTTTGAACAGTGTGGCAGGGTAACTGCTGGGCTTTTGTAGGTCAGGGCAGGGCCTTGTTTGGGCAGAATTGAAAGGAGAGCTTTGAAATGTGACCTCCCCTGGAGTATGAAGGATGGGATTAAAGTTGCCAGTGGAAGCCAGGGCTACTGGACTGATCTCTTTATTACTTACCATGTGTTCCTGTACAGGGGTGAACAGAGGAGCCCTTCCCACAGTCAGAGCCTTTGGGACTGAGAAGTGGGTAAGAGGCTAAGACGGCCAGAGACTGCCATGGCTTCAACTCTCACGGGAGACGCGAGTACGGAGAAAGAATAGGCCATGGGCAGTGCCACCCAGTAGCGGGGTGACAACAGAGCATGGATTTGGGCGATGGGCTTCCCAGGTACACACCTAATAGGACAGCCAAGGAATCAGTGTCTGTCTCCTTTTGGAACAAGGTGTGGGAAGCCTCTGGTTGGAACTTAAAGCTCCTACTTGAATTATTGTTGATCTCTAGCTCCTCACTAAACTGTGAACAACTTTGAAGGAGGCCCCTTTCATATTGCATGTTCTAATGAATGAATACATCTCTATTCTAAAATGGAGGCTCAAAGAAATACAAGTTTTAGCTCTAGGGCATGGCAAATTCCAGAACCTGGACCAAGGTTGGCATTTGTATTCCAGACGATGGCCCATGCCATGTATCCTCAGACTGTGAGGACAAAAGATGGCAGGGGCATTTGTCACCACCATTAGTCATTTTCCTTATCATCTAAGGCAGTGGTTGTCAACCAGGGCCAGTGTTGCCCCTGAACCCCACCCAGGCGACATTTGACAATGACTAGAGGCATTTTTGGTTGGCTCACCTGGGTGAGGGGGCGCTACCAGCCTCTAGTGTGCAAAGGCCTGTGGTTGCTAAGCATCCCAGCAGGCACAAATAGGGCCTCACAGTGAACTATCTGGCCCCAATACCAGCAATGCCATGGTTGAGAAACCCTGTTCCAAGGTCAGTATTAAAACCTTATAAGGAAAAGGGGGTAGTTCAGGGATATCAAGGAAGGGGGTGTAGAACATGGGAGGCTGTGCCCTTGTTCACAGTGAGACTTGATGAGAGAGAAGGAGCTCTCTGTGCTGGGACAGACAGGGGTCTCTGGCAGCAGAATCCCGGTGCGGTGTCCCCTGTCCCAGACAGAGGAGTTTGGGTCACCAATGACCCTAACTTGTGACTTGCCCCTGGGTCCCTGTAGGCTAAATTCTGGATTCTTCCTGAGATTTTGTCTAGCAATTTGCCATTTTCATTGGGCTTCAACAACATTTTATTTCACTGGTTGGGGGTGGGGTGGGGCCTTTATCTTTACATAACAGTAGTCAACTTGCGGATTCTAAACTGCAACGGTATTCATTGAGAAGAGTTTTTAGAATACTTACTGTCAGTTTGAAAGGAAGGTCTATTAAATCTCAGAGAATTTCTATGCAATTAAGACTCTTATTCACTTTTATTTGAACAGAGAAAAATAATTTTGGAATCTTTATATTATTTCAATGGGTTTAGAGATTTCACTAACTAGCTAAACCAAATTTAGGAAATTGTTATTCATTTTACCAAGAAAGTATTTATCTCATGCCAGTCTTTCTGCTTCTCTCAATAGGGTTGGAGAGTTGACATAATAACCTTTTATTGGGGCTTTAGGATAGAGATGGGGTTTCGTCATGAAATAATACATGAATATAAGAAACTTATATAATTTCACATATCAGTTTTCCATGGAAACCTATCTTGGCACAAATTTACCATTCCACATCGAGCTTCATAAAATGTAGAGCATCATAAATATGTGCTTTTTGTGTAGCTGGAATGTACTTAATTTTAAATTGGAAACTCAAGAAAGCAACTAAGGACTTTTGATACTCAGATAGAACATAAAACCTAGCAACAGAGCAAATAAAAATATTTGAATAACTGCCTGCCAGATGGAATTTCACAATAATTCCGTAGCATTTTACATAACAACCTCTTCCAAGTTCAACTGCCCCTTAACTTTCTGTTTTATAGAATAACAACAACAAAAAGTGCTGGCTTCTTTCTTCTCCAAAAGTCTCAGATGAGTTTCTTTCTTTTTTTTTTTTTTTTAAATATATTTTATTGATTTTATACAGAGAGGGAGAGAGATAGAGAGTTAAAAACATCGATGAGAGAGAGTCATCGATCAGCTGCCTCTTGCACACCCCCCCTGGGGATATGCCCGTAACCAAGGTACATGCCCTTGACCGGAATCGAACCCGGGACCCTTCAGTCCCCAAGCCAACGCTCTATCCATTGAGCCAAACCGGTCCTGGCTCAGATGAGTTTCTATGGGGCTAAGCTTCAAATTTACCTTTACCAACTGTTCTCTCACTGTCACCTTCAGTGAGTTCTCTCTCTGCCCCCCACCTCGGCCCCCCATGTTTCTCTTTGTGTAAGAGTTCTGAAACAGCCATCTGTAGTTCTAATCTTGGGTCATCTTTCATTCTTTTTTCCCTCATTAAACTTTGTTTTAAATGGGTCTCAAAATTCTGTTACAGAGCTTTGGTCAAGTCGTTAATATGAAAAAGTACTTATTTAAAAAACTATTAACTTAAACACACACACACACACACACACACACACACACACACACCCCAAATGGGCCACAAAACACTCTCCTTCCTCCTGAAGGTTAAACCTAAATGGTCAATAGATAAAAACAGTTCTGAGCCCGTTCTCCCACCCCTGAATAAGACCAGGTATCAGGTTTTGGGGATAATATTCATTAACCTTCTGGGCTTTCTGAGCAACTGACAGTGCCAGCTGCCTTCTGGTCCACTGCTTTGATGACAACCACAATAATTGTCTGTCTCATGCCACAAACAGCAAAATGGCCCAGAGGATAATCAGAGAAACTGAACACACAGGGCCTTTCCAGGAATTATATTGATGCAGGCAGCATCACCAGATTTCGAAAACTTTGGGCCATTTTCCAGCTTTTTCCAAGAATGATGATCAAGCTTCTCCTTCAGCTCAGCAGATTTGCAAGCAATGGGAGCTGGGTGGCAATCCAGCACAGGTGAAGAGCCAGCACTGATCTGGTCTGGGTGGGTCAGGATAATCATCTGAGCTGTGAAGCCAGCTGCTTCCTCTGGTGGGTCATTTTTGCTGTCACCAGCCCCATAGTCACAGCTAACATCTTTGACAGACACATTCTTCACATTGAAGCCTACCTTGTCCCCAGGAATAGCTTCACTCACAGCTTCATGGTGCATTTCAATAGAATTTACTTCAGTTGTAACACTGACTAGAGCAAAGGTGACTGCCATGCAGGCTTTCAGAACACCAGTCTCCTCTCAGCCCACAGGGACAGCCCAATTGGGTCATGTCCTGGAGGGACAGACATAGGGGCTTGTCAGTTGAATGAGTCGGTAGCAGGATGCAATCCAGAGCTTCAAGCAATGCACTGTCACTTTCATTGCCATCTTCACCAGTGACTTTTCCTCCTTTGAACCACCTGTTAGCACCTGGCTCCAGGCTATTGTTGCCATCCCAACTAGAAACCGGCACAAATGCTACTGCAGATAATTAAAGTAGGTGCTGACTTTCCAGTAACTTCCTCATCTCTCTTCTGGCTGCAGGATGACTCAGAGGAACACATTTTGTTAGACCAACAATCATTTGTTTTCTACCCACCTAGTGTGTAAGCCAGAAGGGCATGCTCGTGGATCTGCCTATTCCTAGAGATACCCTCTTCGAATTCACCACCACCAGCAGCAACAATGAGGACAACACAGTCAGCTGGAGATGGGCCTGTAATCCTGTTTTTTGGTGA